AATATGAATCCCTGCAGTCACGAAAGCTTTAAATCAAAATTTAAAACAACTATCGTGTCGACGTTTAGTTGAGTCTGACAAAAATTATATCTCTGAGAATAAAAAAAATCGCGCTGCCTCTTCGCAAGGAACTTCTCCGCAGCAGGGCCTGGCGGCAAAGTGTACGTGTCAAAAAGGGTTACTTGATGGGACCTCAGGAGTAGTTCTATGGTGACTTCTTACACAGGGCCCGGGGTGATCCTGTGCTTTATGAGGGTTCGGAATGAACACTTCATGTCGTGACTTGACACTCCTGGCGCAAATTAGAACAACGTTGTGAAAAAAAGGCAAAAACATGGATGTGTAATGATTGGAACGTCACACACAAGCGTTGTTATTGTTGCGTTAAGTGTGCGTCAGTTACATTGTGGGAGAAAGTACAACCAACCCATGCAATTGAATTGCCTTGATATATCTGCATGCATGCCAATGTGTGTGGTTTTTTTAAATCAAGCTTTCAAAATACAAAGCTTCATATGCTTGTGAAAAATCGCATTAGTTTATGCTTATAACGGAGTCATTAAACCAGGTTGGTCCGTGTTTGTACATACAATCTCGAACATTCTGATAGGAAAACCATTAATTCTAATGATGTCATCTGTGAATTTAGAAATGGAAAAACAGATTAAAATCATGCATTTGCAAACGTGGCAAATATTGTGTGGCGAATATATTTTTCATCATCAAGTTTTAAGAAACCCGAATGCAAACTTGAATCAATAAAAAAACAATTGAATGCTCCAGAACAAATAAGATAACTTGTATGCCTATATGTATTAAAACCCAAACTGTTTTTACAACACACGACATGAATATTGCATTGTGACGCGAGGGGATTAAAAATAATTATAGATTTGAAGTTTTCGTGACTGCAAGGATTCATACTTTTGGATTTTTCGGTAAATTTAGTGAAAGCACACCGCTGAAGTGATGTGCTTTTGCTAAGTTGTCCACACCTGAAGAAGGACGCTTGTGTTGCGCCCGAAATGTCGTGATTTAATTTATTTTAAAATTTTGTACCTACGTGACTTTACCTAAAAAAACAAAGAGGATTAAAAACAAGTTTGAGGCTGTAGTTTACAAGAGAAAATGCGTGATTTTGGCAAACATTCCACCGAGAAGCACAACAAATATTTGCTCACATATGAAATATGGTTACAAAAAAACTGGCATGATGTTCATAAAAACAACAACAACTTTGTGTTGAATATGACTATGCAAGATGGTGGATGGCCTACATGCATTGGCTAAAAGTGCATTGTGAAAGTTACATCAACGTACTCTGAGGCAACATGTTCGACAATGAAGCGTGTTCTTAATGTGTCACATGTGCAGCGTAAAACAACAATTAAGATATCTACAAGACAACCAAAAGTATGAATGTGCTTTCGTTTTAGATGATATAAAAACAAACAGCTGGGAGTAGACCCACTGGCCCAGAGGTCAGAGCAATCAACGGGCATCTCTGAGAACCTCGGGTTAAACCTGGTCAGGCACCCACAACTGAACCGGCTGGTCAGGTGTGGGTGAGTCCATGGTCTCAGCTCAGTCGCCAGCGATTGCAAAATAAACATACTTTCTGTTTTGCACTTTCTCCGATGGAACTCCAGCTGAGAACGAAATTCGGCGTAAGCGTCACGTGACGTTCTCAGGGCAGAGTGTGGGGGAGGGTGCCGGCTATGCTGTCGATGGGGGGGGGGGGGCACTTGAAGGGAATTTCAGAATCCCTCAAACAAATGTCTCTCGTAGCCTTTCCCCAACACGCAGGGTGCCTCTGCCCTGTAAGGTCTCAAAATGTATTCTCTGTCCCACGACATTGCTGGTGATAGCGCAATTGGAAGACATTGGGGAGCGGGGGAGGAGGAGGACCAAAGCATGATTGAAGTTTTGAATAAGAACCAAATGGCTCACAGGTCATTGGCTGATTTTATACATATAATTTATTCCTTTAATGCGGTGATTGCAGTAACTGACTGGGACAGTTATGTTATAGTTTGGTTGCTAACAACACTGCCACACGCAATTACTTTTTCTTGAAAATTGTTGTGACAGGGTCTAGGACTACGGTTGCCTCCTGTCCTGGTTTTCCCTGCACCGTCCTCTTGTTGTGCTGTGGCTTTGAAATCTGTAAATCTTCCCGGGACATTGAAAGTCCTTGCTTATGTCGGTACAATCATAATACGCTGCTAAGTCAATTAATTTACGCGTAACTTTCCTCTCTGCCAGAATATATTGCGAGATATTCTTCCCGTGATATGTCATGAATGTGCGTAACCTTAGAGGTGGCGACCCTATGTGCAAGTCACGTCACACTGGAAGCAGCACGTGATACTTTCTCCACACAACGTATCACGTGGCTCCACAGAATAGACCAGCGAGATAAGATACGATGGGCGATTGAAAAGTTTGTGCCCTAAGAAAGTAAACAATGACCATGAAGCTGCTATTTTCCTACATAGTCCCTGCTTCCGCCTCGATAGAACATTGGTTTCCTGGTCTGAAACTGGAAACACGTGAACCCCACCTAGAGCCAGGTCTGATTAGTAACGGGGTTTCTCCAATTGTGTTTCGATTTTCTCCGATATATTTCCAGATTTCTCCGCGCCATTTAATAAACACAAACAAAATTATTTTAAAACACATGCAAACACCGATAATATATTCCCAAAAAATGTTGGTAACCCGTCAAAGATGCTGAACGGTACACATTAGACCTTTTGTTTGTAAGCACACTCGTTTGACGAGGTATCAACTTGTTTTGTTGATTAGCTGAAACTTAGTCTAGGTGGTGTCCTGGACAACTTGGAGAAACGCTTTGCAAGTTTCTGAATTTGAGAATCACCCTTTACTTGTCTGGCAAATGTATGGATTTTACACAGCCCGTCTTCCTTCATCATCACCACCACACGTTGTGTTGAACTTCTTTCGCACCGCAACGTAGCCAACCGTGCTAATCGGATGATAGGCGTGTCAATTGGTGCATTCTGAAAAAAAGTCAAGAAGTGGTATCCCCATCAGATGAATAGTGAGGTGGCATTCATCTCAGATGAATAGTGAAGTTGCATCCCCATCAGATGAAGAGTGAGGTGGCATTCATCTCTGTTGGTGGTCCTGAATGTGTTTTCCACGTCCTCTGTTGGTGGCCCCGCACCTCTGATTAGCGCAGTTGGCTACGTACTGTGCAAAAGAAGTTCAATCAGACACACATGAGGCAGTAGTGGAACTTCCACATCCCACGGTTGGGTCCAAGCTCTGCGTGAGATAACCTCAAAGCAGTCGCCATTTTGTCAACCCCTGAGGTATGAGTTGACCTCCCAATCCGTATTTGCCCTCCTAGCCAATAATGCTATCAGATGTTCAATATGGATAAACCAGTAAAATTCTGTAAAACCTTTCCAGCTCAACTTACATGTGTAGACAACATATGTGAATAATATCCGAATAGAAAGCACTTCAATTATTAGCACTGCTTCCTAGCAATGGTTTATGCCAAAATCACTTAATTGGTTTATCCATTATGAGACCTCCTTTGCCAGTAGCTATATCCATTATGAGACCTCTTTTGCCAGTAGCTATATCTTGCTACTGGCAAAGGAGGTCTCATAATGGATAAACCAATGAAGTGATTTTGGCATAAACCATTGCTAGGAAGCAGTGCTAATAATTGAAGTGCTTTCTATTCGGATGTTATTCACATATGATTGTCTATACATGTAAGTTGAGCTGGAAAGGTTTTACAGAATTTTACTGCAGACTACTGCGCAGGTGGTTTGGGTTGATGCACGATGTTAGACGCTTCGATCCAAGTGGTGGGAGCTTCTTCAGGAACTGAATAGTGAAAGTGAATTGAAGCTCCCAGCACCTGTGAGCGAAACGTTGGACATGCGGTAAAACCCGTAACACACCAGAGAGCGAGAGTGCTGCAGGTCAGAAGCAAAAAAAGAGAAACACCCACACATCTTTATTTATTCTTATTTTTGTTTTAATATACAGTCAGCACCCCGAGACAATCAGTGCACTTATTCTAAGACTGGCACGTAAAGGCGAGGCCGTCAAATAAGCTCAGCGTTGGGTCAGCGCAGTTGTTCCCAAAGCGGTTTCACCGCCCTCCGCGTGCAATGTGCGTTCAATGAAACGTTCTTTATTTGGCAACGCTCATCGTGTTGTTGGTTGGCGGCTTTTTTCTCTCTCTCTCTCTCTCCTGACGCAATATTTTCAAATCTCCCGTTCGTAACACCGGCACACAATGGCCTCTGCTTCAGTGGACAACGCCACAGGGTCTTTAACGTCCTCAACAACCCCCACCGTTCACAGAAGACGACGCGCTCCGGTAATGCCCTGCCGATGTCACCGGACGGTCCTCGCGGGGATCGAACCCTCGGACTGGGTGCACACCGGCTCAGTGGCGAGCACACTGACCACTCGGCCTCCTGGAGGTGTGTGTGTGTGTGTCTATGTATACCGTACATACACTCGCACACACGGCAGTAGAAGTATAAACACAGACAAAGACAAAGATCTCTTGTGGAGACTTTACAGGCGGACACCGGCACGGCACACGAGGGGGTGTGTGGCCAACACCGCGCCCAGGCCGCCTTTGTCTCTCCCCAGTGGTAATGTTTTACACACCGCACCGGGTACTCATTTGAGGCTGAGTCGACCTAGAGGAGGCCCGCGACCGGTTCAGATAACCGGTGTTGGTGGTGGCCGTGAGCGGGAATCGAACTCGGGCCTTCGCCGCCGGGTTCGTAGCGCCAACCGTTGCGCCACCGCTCCCCGCCAGACGGACAGACGGACGTACGTACATATGTACACCTACATACAAATTTACACGCCCACATATACATTACGTACAAATATAAATGGTGCCAAAGGTTTCACGAGCGGTCCCCGTGCGGCGCGCCGCGGTGAGGCCCGCGGACGTGCGGCGCCGGTGCCCCTATCAGGGGGCCCAGGGCGGCCTACGGGGCGACGGCGGGGCCAGCCCGGGCGGCGCCCGGCCCCGCCCGGCCCGCAGTGCCCAGGTTGGTGAGCGCCATGGCTGCGTGCAGCTCGTTCCAGTAGCTGGACGGGTCGCTGGGCCCTCGCTTCTGTCCACTGTGGGTGAGCAGTTGTGGGTGAGTGTGTGTGAGTGTGGGTGAGTGCGGGTGAGTGTGTGCGTGTGAGTGTGTATGTGTGTGTGCGTGAGAGTGTGTGCGTGTGAGTGTGCGTGTGTGAGTGTGTGTGTGCGTGTGTGCGTGTGAGTGTGTGTGTGAGTGTGTGCGTGTGAGTGTGTGTGTGAGTGTGTGTGTGTGAGTGTGTGCGTGTGAGTGTGTGTGTGCGTGTGTGAGTGTGTGCGCGAGTGGGCAGGTAGGAGTGCGAGCGGGTGGTCGGCGTGCGGAGGGGCGGGTGGGTGTGTGCACGTGTCGGCGTGTGGGTGTATGAGTGGGATGGTGGTCGAGTATGTGGGCAGGTGGGTAGGTGAGTGGGTGGTTGCATGATTGGGTTGGTATGTGGGTGGGAACGTGCACGTGTTGGTGTGTAGGTGGGTGCGTGGAATGGTGTGTATTGATTGTTTCATTGTTGGTGTTGTTTGGATTTTCGGAATGTGTGCGTGTGGGGTGTGAAGTTTAGTGTGTTGACGTGCGAGTGTGTAAATGCGTGTGCGAGTGTTGGTGAATGGATGGGTGGGCAAGTTGGTGGGTGAGAGGAATGGGAGTGGGCAAAGGGCAAAACACACACATGCAGCAAACCATGTTCATCATCTGCCATAGCCTCCACGCGTCTCTAGGGTTACGTCTAGGCACATAGCTTCATCTATTTCGAACCATTTAAGTGTGTAATGGGGAGCAGTACAGCACCACAGTAGCTAGGATGCTAAACCGCTGACCCTGTGACCTGCGTTCGATCTACCGGCCAGGGTTAACGTTAGTGGGGAGTGAAGCGGACCTGGGTCTCCTCTTCACCAACCCACACTGACCAGCACGGTTAAGTACGGAGAAGCATCCATGCACTACTAAAGTGACAGTTCTGGGATGTATTATTGCGTGTGAAGGCAACGGCTCCCTGACCTGGCACCGTTACTCGAGCATTTGAAAGATAATTGGAAGGTTGCAGATTTAAAACCGGGTCAGCTCATCATTCCTCTGAGGACTATAAAATGAGTACCACTTTTAGGAAAGTCAACGGTGGCCATCCCATAAAAATTCTGGCATCTGCAATGGGAATGTGGATATTTGCCACTGGATCAATGCAACTAATAGTCACGAGCAGCATCCAATCACTCGTTTGAGAATGGAGAAAATGTGGCTTTGTCACGTACAAGCATGTGACGCGTTCATATTTGCAACAAATGCATGACTTCATTGGGCATGTTTACGTACATTTACAATACACGGATCATCAATAAAAATTAGATGCAATTTCACAAGTTATACGCAGATACACAGTTTTACTACAATCACAGCCAAATGGGATTTACCCAAATATATGACAAATGCTTACCGGCAAAATCATTAAGTTAGTTTTTCCCTCTCGGGGTCATTATAATTCCATTGTTTTTCAAGCTTTTAAAGTTTGCCAATATGACAACTAGATATATAGTTTTACTTCTTGTAAAGGATAAATAAACTAAAGCCTGTGATCTTTGAGAGCTGAGAATTGATTTTTTTTGTCATTAGCCTCATGTCATATTTGTTATTTTGTTAATTTTGTTTACACTTGAACACAATCCATCCAAAGGCTATCGTGTAAATCGTCTGCCAGCAGCAGTGCGGGGACATTTTATCCCAATGTATCTGAACATTGCACATTTAATTAATACCCCACATGGAAATCAAAGTATGAATGTACGTGGCCAGCCAGTCCTGGATTCATGGTGCTTGAAAAACAACTGTAAGTTTTGTAGATCAACTCAGTCCATTATCCTCCTGGGATCAGTAAAATGAGTGTTACTTTGAGGGAAAGCAAGAGTGATTAGATTACGGACAAATTTCCATTACTGACCACCAATCAAAATTAATGCCAACTCGAGCTCATGTGAGCACAGAGCCACATTGAAATTGATTGCATAAAATCAACGTCAAAAGAAAAAAATAAACTAAAATAGACCAAATTTTGATTTAAAGCTTTCGTGACTGCAGGGATTCATATTCTTGGTTCTTTTGGTAAAGTCACGTAGAAGGGAAACAATAAAATAATAAAAATATAAAACAATAGAATTCTCACGACGTTTCAACTGCAACACAAGCAGTCATCATCAGGTGTGAAAACCAACGGCAAGAACATTTGAAAGAAGTGGCGGTTTGTATTTATTTACTTATTTTTAAACGTTAGCACCACGGATAGCGATTTGACAGTTTGTTTAGATGGACGAGCGCTTTTTCAGGAGCGACCTGGCCACAAATGAGAATTTTATTGTTTATATATATTTTATTATTTTATTGTTTCCCTTCAACGTGACTTTACCGAAAGAACCAAGAATATAAAAGAGACCACTTCGTTTTACATCCATCCACCTCTGTTGGCTGCGTTAAACAAACTATAACAGGAAGTTTGGGCGACTATCGTTACATGGATGTCAGTCACCGCGTAGTGGCAGATTCATGGTTGTGAGTAGCATTCGCCCTGTAGATGATCATAATAACGCGTTTGCCACCGTAGTGTCAAACTCTGGGGTGCAAGTGGTACAAACATATTTAATTACCTTAAAGAATTCTGCTCCAGAATTTTGGCTGCACCTTAAAAAAGGAAAAAAAAATGCCATGTCATAGTAAGGTGCGCAGAGCGAGTAAATAATTATGTGTTCAGAGAATGCCAGTAAATTGACCAGAATGCTGAATATGAAATGCTTAACAATAAAGAGAGCAGTGTTCTCGTGTGTGTGGTTTAAATAGAAATCATATCATGTGGGTGCACACATTTTATTTTAATACATATTCTTCAAAGAGCTTATACATATTTAACGTTCTTTATAAGATAAAATTGCACTTCATTATCTGATTTTAGCTGGGAAATTATCCAAGCCGAATGCATGTCCTGCCCGTCAAAGTTTCTCCATCCTCGAATGAGCAAGCGACAGTTGCTCTTGTCTTTTAGTGCCTCTGAACCGGTTACAAACATCCACATTACTCTGGCAGAAGCGGGTTCATTCATAGCACATCTCCAGGTGACTCCCACAAAGTGGTACTTCGTCCCCCCCCCCTATAATGAGATACACGACTGACATTTTAAACTGCAAAAAAAAAGAGAGTAGCCGTTTGCCATTCGAGCGATCTAGCCACAGCACGACTCGGCCGTACAGTATGATCGTACCGAGTATTATTTAGCTGCGTGTTATTCTCAGGTTCGGGGATTTCAATGAGCGACAGCACACAAGCCCACTCACTACTGCGTCGCTGGTTCTCGTCCCTTGCTCACCACCTGACGTACACGAAAACTATTGGCAGTCTCAGCTTGGTGAGGTTTGATTCCTAGCGAGAGACGTGCACCAGTCATAGAAACGTGGAAATGTCGCTGTTGGTTTAGGGCCACCAGTGGAGATGAGTACTGTCCACCTAACTTTTGACTTTGAATTCCAGGCACCTGTTAATTGTAAGGTCTCACCTGCAATCCTCCATCGAGCTTTCAGACTTACAACAGATTTGTGTTTATAGGCAGTGCTTAATTGCAGCCATATGTGTGAATTTGTGTGAATTTATTTCGCACCATACGTAGCCATCCACACTAATCAGAGGTGTGGCGGGGGGAAGGACAACAGACTAAACACAAAAAGCAGCACTAAAGAAATCAATTTTCAATCTCGATTTAAAAGTGCATAGCTCCAATTGCTTCCTAATGTCGTAAGGAAGAGCGTTCCAGACGGCCGCAGAAGCGCATCTGAAAGCGCGTGATGTGGTGACCACCGCCTTTGTTCGATGGCCAGCAAAAAGCCGCTGCTGCGAGGATGAGCGGAGTCCACGTGATGGTTCATGCTCCTTGACGAGATAAGCGAGGTGTGGTGGTTCATTTGCGGCAAGCACTTTGCTTGTAGTGAGTGCGACCTGATGACAGCCTGGCAACACTGTTCTGACCATTACATTGGCACCCCACGTCCACCTCGTGACACGTACTGTAGTTGGTCTTCATAGCCTTACAAAAATATACGGGACAATATCGCAGATTATGAATGGGTGTATTTTGCACTCTCGCAGTAGTGCCATACACCCGCAAATCCCTCCTCCACACCGGCCCAACATATCGCTTGAGATGTGAACTTAGGTCACGGAGGGTGGTGTGGGGTGTGGTGTGGGTGCCATCGTCATGGGCCGTCCTGATGCCGCAGTGCATTACCGGCGGCAGGAGCTTGCTGCCTCCTCTCCGACTCGCTGGACACGGGCGACAGGGATCCGTCCTCGTAGCACGCCGAGCTCAGCGACGCCGGGTGGCTGCTCCGACGGGGCTCACGCTGGTGGCGCAGCACGCCTTGCTGGTGGTGCCCGCTGGCGCCGTTGCTGCCGACGATGTTGATGATGTTGCTGCTGCTGTTGTTGTTGTTGATGATGCTGATGCCGCTGCTGCTACTGTTGTGACTGTGAAGCAGGTGGTGGTGATGGTGGTGATTGTGGTGCAGCTGATGCTGCTGGTGCTGCTGCTGCTGCTGATTGTGGTGATGGAGTTGCTGCGCGTGGTGGTGGTGGTGGTGCTGCGCGTGGTGGTGGTGGTGGTGGTTGTGGTGAACGCCTCCGGGTCCCTCTTGCACCGCCGCCGCCACCACCGCTGTTGCCGCAGCGCCCCGTCCTGCGAGCGCGTGCTTGCACGAGTCTCTCAGGTAGCGGTGCAGGAGGCTGTTCTTGTACTTGCGAGGGAAGGCGCGGTCCTGCCCTTGCCGGCTCACGTTCTCCACCGTCAGGCTCGAGTCCTCCACGTCCTTGCGCCTCGCCTCGTCCTCGTTGTCCTCCGTGCAGAGGACCTCGCCGTCTGAAATCGGCGAGGGCGTTAGGCCGTGCGTGGAACGACTCCGTGTTGAGAGGTGACACCGTTCTCACCCCCGCCTCCCCCTCCCGAATTCAAATACAAATCAGGACGATTACCAGACCCTTAATATGGTTTTACACGGTTATTTCAAACTTGTAAAAACTATCTGACTTGTAAACCGGAGTAAAAACATAGCAATGCCTCTCTGCTCAAACCTCCATTGGTGGACCTGAGCCAGCAGTGGAAATTCCAAATTACTCTGAATTCAAATCCGAATAAATATAGAAAGCGAATGTACAGGCATTCCAACTAATCCACTCTCGTTTATATCTTGTCAGCATATCTCCTCTCTGCAGCGCTCAGCTACATCTCATATCACTTCATCTCCCACGTTTGCCCACACTTCACTCATCAGGCGACATCTACATGTCTTGCTCTACATCTATTCTCTCAACTCACTCGTAAATTAAATGGAAGGTCCCCTAAATCATTATTTTGGCGCCACCACTGCCACAAGAACGGTGTCTCCTCCAATCCACGTGAGAGAACACACTGAGTCCTGCATGCAATGTGGGGGTTAATTTTGGGGGAGTTTAGCGGGGGGGGGGGAGGGGGGTTAAATGAAGACGTAATATCAAGCTCAAAGGTCAGAATCTGTATTCATACTGGAGGAATCCGATGAGCTTTTAAGCTCTTTTCACAGATGCCGAGTAGAGGCGGGTCACAAAGTCCAGAAGCGGTGGGTCAGCAAGTTGAGCCGCGTGCAGAGCACCGCGATCTGGGCAGGAGCTGCGTCTCCAGGTGGTCCCAGGTGAGAGCCGTGCTGTAGCATTGCTTGGCGCCATCCAGAAAAGACGTGTTTCTTTCGGTAGTTTCAGCTGTGGGTTTTGCCTGTCCTCTATATTCAGAATATTCTATTTGTGATTGATAAAAATCAATCTAAATAACATACCAAACTATAAATGGGCTTCATTTGGTCTTCGTGTAAACATTGGGGTTTTGTTAAGAAAACGGATAAACCGGTACTGGGGCAGCCCACCTCTGAATCATCCAGATATTCCGATGACCCCACGTTACTTTAGACGGCTGAAGGGTCATCGGACTGGTTACAAATGTGAACATTGTATGTATATGTTTTAAAAGACGAAGCAAAACTAAATAAAATGAAAATAGAGGCCGTTACACTGAAAACAAATCCTCCGGATGTGTACCTCGCACGGGTTTAAAACCAACGAGTATGGGTTTAAAACCTTTTGCCTAAATACCAAAAACAGAACTGGAAAGTCACAGCCACGTGCCTTTCAGGCACATCGCTACAGTGCCCTCTAGCGGCATCACCGCTACACTGGAGCTCTTGTCAGCCTCGGAAACGGCGGAGGAGGGATGAATGTGACGCTGGCTGGATCACAGCACAGGACAGGCAGCAGTGCATGGACGGGCCCAATCCATGTCTAATCTGAACTATTTATTTTATCTTACACCAGGTAAGGCCCACTGAGCTATGTGGCGCTTTTTCAGGAGCGACCTGGCCACAAATGAAAGCTCAACGACGTAGCTTATCATATGTAAATGTATAGCAGCCAAATAATCTAAATGTGGGTGGGAAAAACCAGAGGACCTGGAGAAAAATCCACGCGACCACGGGGGAGATAGACATGCAAATTCCAAATATACAGCAGGCGTCAGGGTCGGGATCGAACCCACAATCTCCTACATGCCAGGCGAGGTAGTTAACATCTCTGCATCACAGCATAGGGCAGGCAGTAGTGCATGGTAGGGGCCCACCCCATGTATTTGTTTTACAGAACCAGACTTAATCGTTCACATTGTTGTAGATTGATATCGTTGTTGTAATGTAATAAAACACACTTTCCGTATATTTTTTTGGATTGCGTCTTTCTTACAACAATGAGCCGCTATATATACTGTGTTGACAGCCAAGTTGTGACTCACCGCGTGCGCGGAAAGCACACGGCGAATCTGTATACTCCGCTCGCATTGTAACGCATTGTGTCAAGTGTGATGGCATGTGCTACAGCTAGCCCAATACTATGCTAGCAAACTGCACGTAGGGCGAGTGTGAGCAAATAATGCGCTATGTAATTTTACTTTTGGGAGACGGTGTTCATTGAGGACATGGTGTGGTGTGGGTTTTTCTGTCTGCACCACAGCAGATCCAGATGTGGTGACACACATGCAGAGCTTTGCAGGTGTGGTAGGTGTTATCACGCATTGTTATGTGTTATCACGACCGACAGGGCTGTGCAGAAAGTTGGTTGTCAACCCATTTGTACAGATTTTTTTGGTATGTCATAACTTCTATTGAATTATGATTGTTGTGAGTTCAAGTCCAAATCGAGGTCGACTCAGGCACCATCCCTTCAAGGTCAATAACTTTGGTATCACTGTGGAAATGTAATATTGGAGTGGTTGTAAAGTGGAGATCCTGGACCCAGCCCTAGTACTGTGGACTTTCCACCACTTGCTAAGGGCTGCCAAACGAAGATAAGTGACTGTAGGACCTTCCACCACTTATACCCTGTAGTAAGTATATCCATGTACGTACAAATATATATTTTTTATCACATAATAGAATTTTGCGAAATAGAAATCCGCGAATAAGAGGTTTGACTGTATGTATATAGCACGTGACATTGCCAGTATACATCGTTGTACACAGTCCTTGCACTCCAGCGTTGTGGAGAAGGCACAAGATACGTCGATGTTGAATTCACACGAGCAGCACTCTGCAACGACCATGCGCAGTTTCGCGCCGGACCGCAGGGGAAAAAAGAGTATAAACAAATCAAGACTCGACGTGCAACTGACTGCCATGAAAAACAAAGACGTTTGTTTAAACTCAAATAAATCTTGCAGGGAGGGATTCACACCAATGGTAATATTTTGTAATGCAAAGTCAGCATGTATATGGACTCAGGACAATCACCAGACCCTTACTATGGTTTGAAACAGTTGTTTCAAACTTGTAAAAACGATCTGATTTGTAAATCGTAAACCGAGAGTAAAAAATATATATGTCTCTGCACAAACATCCATTTGGTGAACCTGAGTCAGCAGTCGAATTCCACATTACTCTGGCAGCAGGAAGACGACTGGTGACTCGATGGACCGAGTCTACCTCTGACCGGGATTGGAAGTCACACTGGTGTGATTGTGAGCCGAACAGTCTAAACACAGCGTCAGACAGCGAGGATACTTAATTCAAAGCATAACGATGAACCTCGCTACGTGCACAGACAAAACATGTGCACGTTTCCTGAGCTACGAGGTGGATCTGGAAACATGTGACCGCACCAGGTGAATGTCCGTGTGAACACACACACACATCTCACCAGTGATGATGTCGTCATTCTATTCGTAGAGTGACATCCACGTGCATTTCAGTTTTGCCATCACTTTATGATGTTCATATCGACAATGCGATTTGGCGACTTAAACGATGGGTGTAAGATGCCTCTCTTTGCGTATGTTTGTAAGGCATACTATCTGTGTAGGCATACTATGTGTGTAGGCACACTATGTGTGTAAGCATACTATGTTTGTATGCAGTGGTGCTGTATACAATTAAGTGGAACCGACTGTACAATTGTTTTTCCGTAAAGGAATATCTTCCATCTTCTCGCAATGAGAGTCACTCTCAGCGAAATGCTCGCCAAGCCGCATTTGTTCTGAGCCAAACATCAATGAAGCAAGAAGGTAATTGTGTCTTCGCGATGTAAGATGAGTTAGTGGCCTTGTTTATTGCTACTGGCAACTGCTAGCCTAGTGGTGGAAATTTCCACCTTTCCATGGAGGGGCACAGTTAAGCAGTTAACCCCTTATGGATGGATGCATCCTGGATGGATAATTGGCTGAGCTGATCCCTGGCCAGTCAGTAACATTATCCTAAGACGACTCAATGTTAATGTCGTTAGACTCAGTGTTAATGTCTTAATACTTAGTGTTAATGTCTTAATACTTAGTGTTAATGTCTTAAGACTTGGTGTTAATGTCTCCAGACTTAGTGTTAATGTCTTAAGACTTAGTGTTAATGCCTTAAGACACAGTGCTAATGTCTCAACATTTAGTGTTAATGCCTTAAGACTCAGTGCTAATATCGTAACAGTGTTAATCACAGCACGATGTCTTCAGTTCCTGAAGAAGTTCCCAGCACTCAGAGTGAAATGTTCCGTTTGTTCAAACTGCAGAGGGAATTCCTCCTGTGTTGATCAGACGTCACCTTCAGGGTGTTCACAAGTTTCCATTCTTGGTCCGATTCCATTCTCCCTGAAAATATTACCTCTGGGGTGATGCTGCTCGAAGGCATAGGATAAACTTCCACTGAATCCGTGGAACATTTCACTCGCTAGCTTGCTGACATCGTAAACGCTGATGTCAAATGTGTTTTTGATGTCACATTCTGATAAAAAAAAAAACTGAGACGATGCTTTTGAGACCTCAGAACCAACGAAATAAATCTGTCTCAATGAGCCCTCGGTGATTTCCCCCCCCCCCCACCCTCGGTGTGAGGCTGAGAAATATTTGTGTTATTTTCGATCAAGAACTTTCCTTTGGGCAACATATCAGGAACGTCCCGAAGGTATCTTTTTTCATCTTACGGAATATTGCTAAACTTCGATATGTTTTCTCTTTTATATCTGATGCAGAGAGATTTATGCACAGCTTCATGACACATCTAGTGTTGATTACTACAATGTTCTGTTCTCTGGTATTTTTTAGTCTGTGAAAAAGAGCTTTATAGCTGAACGGATTCCTCCAGTATAAATACAGATTCTGATTCGTAGGATGCATCTCTGCTCAATATCCCAATGATGCAGAGGAACAATGCACGCGTAGCAGAGCAATTCGCCTACAAAGCACTCGATAAAATGTGGACTGAGCTGCCACGATCTGGAAGGGACGGTTTTCTCTCTTTGTACTTTTGAAGTAACATTGGAAAATGTTTCATGATATAACGTTCCACAATCCGACACCTTGCGGCGGTCCGCTCGCGAAAGGCGCTGTGCGACATGACGGTTGGTTGACTGGTCATGCCAACCGACGCGCGGCACAACGCGAGGTCACGTCAGAGAGTTGTGCCGCACAACCGAACGAACGACGGCAGTGGCGGTGAGATAGTCCTTGAAGTGCTCCGTGGATGCCACGAGCCATTGTCCACCGGCCAGAATGGTAACGCTACAGTGAGGGAAAAAAAGTATTTGATCCCCTGCTGATTTTGTACGTTTGCCCACTGATAAAGAAATGACCAGTCTTTAATTTTAATGGTAGGTTTATTTGAACAGTGAGAGACAGAATAACAACAAGAAAATCCAGAAAAACGCATGTCAAAAATGTTATAATTTGATTTGCATTTTAATGAGGGAAATAAGTATTTGACCCCCTCTCAATCAGAAAGATTTCTGGCTCCCAGGTGTCTTTTATACAGGTAACGAGCTGAGATTAGGAGCACACTCTTAAAGGGAGTGCTCCTAATCTCAGCAAGTTACCTGTATGAAAGACACCTGTCCACAGAAGCAATCACTCAATCACATTCCAAACTCTCCACCATGGCCAAGACCAAAGAGCTCTCCAAGGATGTCAGGGACAAGATTGTAGACCTACACAAGGCTGGAATGGGCTACAAGACCATTGCCAAGCAGCTTGGTGAGAAGGTGACAACAGTTGGTGCGATTATTCGCAAATGGAAGAAACATAAAAGAACTGTCAATCTCCCTCGGCATGTGGCTCCATGCAAGATCTCACCTCGTGGAGTTGCAATGATCATGAGAACGGTGAGGAATCAGCCCAGAACTACACGGGAGGATCTTGTCAATGATCTCAAGGCAGCTGGGACCATAGTCACCAAGAAAACAATTGGTAACACACTATGCCGTGAAGGACTGAAATCCTGCAGCGCCCGCAAGGTCCCCCTGCTCAAGAAAGCACATATTCATGCCCGTCTGAAGTTTGCCAATTAATATCTGAATGATTCAGAGGACAACTGGGTGAAAGTGTTGTGGTCAGATGAGACCAAAATGGAGCTCTTTGGCATAAACTCAACTCGCCGTGTTTGGAGGAGGAGGAATGCTGCCTATGACCCCAAGAACACCATCCTCATCGTTAAGCATGGAGGTGGAAACATTATGCTTTTTGGGGTGTTTTTCTGCTAGGGGGACAGGACAACTTCACCGCATCAAAGGGACGATGGACGGGGCCATGTACCATCAAATCTTGGGTGAGAACCTCCTTCCCTCAGCCAGGGCATTGAAAATGGGTCGTGGATGGGTATTCCAGCATGACAATGACCCAAAACACACGGCCAAGGCAACAAAGGAGTGGCTCAAGAAGAAGCACATTAAGGTCCTGGAGTGGCCTAGCCAGTCTCCAGACCTTAATCCCATATGAAATCTGTGGAGGGAGCTAAAGGTTCGAGTTACCAAACGTCAGCCTCGAAACCTTAATGACTTGGAGAAGATCTGCAAAAAAGAGTGGGACAAAATCCCTTCTGAGATGTGTGCAAACCTGGTGGCCAACTACAAGAAACGTCTGACCTCTGTGATTGCCAACAAGGGTTTTGCCACCAAGTACTAAGTCATGTTTTCCAGAGGGGTCAAATACTTATTTCCCTCATTAAAATGCAAATCAATTTATAACATTTTTGACATGCGTTTTCCTGGATTTTTTGTTGTTGTTATTCTGTCTCTCACTGTTCAAATAAACCTACCATCAAAATTATAGACTGATCATTTCTTTGTCAGTGGGCAAACGTACAAAATCAGCAGGGGTTCAAATACCTTTTTCCCGCACTATATATGCAAGGTAATGGTGGTTGACGTTGTCGATCCTGCCACACATCACCACCTTCACACGATTCCCCCACTGCTGCAACGGACCGACAAGCCCTGCTCTTAGTGTCCCACCATCTGGCTTTAGGTCTCTCCCCCTTAGGTGGCTGACCTCTGCTTGCTGCTCCGAATGCCTGTCTCTGTAACCCGCCCTCGTCGATTCTGCAACACGTGTCCTGCTCATCATCACCAACTCCTCTTTCCGATTAAGTCTACACTGCTCTCCTGCTTTGACTCATTCCAGACTTGTCCCTCCTCCCACGAAATCCCTAATTTTCTCCACGTTCACCTTCAGTGAAAAGGCAGATTATGATGTTCTAGCAATGTACTCTGAATTCAATCGCGTGAAACTATTTTAAGTGGGACTTTCCAATTCGCATGTCATTCGAAGTGGCGTAATTTCCACGTGTTTCTGGGTCAAGTGAACCTGTGTCAGAGGACGTCAAATTTACGGTGATGCCAAAAGGGGAATTGCAATAGCGGCTGTGAGCACACAGAAGTGGTGAGTCAGCAGTGGTGTGAGTTTGTTGGGATGTGGTGGTGGTGGTGGTGGGGGCAGGATGACGGGGAGCACGATGCACTACGAACCCGGCTACCCGAGTTCGATTCCCGCTCACGGCCAACACCAGTGACGATAATCTGAATCGGTACTGGGTCTCTCCTGGGTCGACTCAGCCTCAAATGAGTATCTGGTGCGATGTGTGAACATCGCCACTAGGGAGACAAAGGCGGTCGGGCGTGGTTGCTGGCCACCCACCCCCTCGTGTGCCGTGTCGGGTGTCATAGGTGCTACTCGCTAACAGCACTTGCCCCTACAGTCTGTTACAGGCTATACGGGGGATCTTTGTCTTTGGCGTTATTCAGAAATAAAATTAAGCATTTAGGGCTCAAGGTGCGCAGATTTCATTAAAAATATAGGGGTGTCACCAAATATTATTAAAAAAATCAAAATAGATAATCACTTTAATATAACTACTGCTGGTGAGCAATTATTTCCTTGTAATGAGTCGATTAGCCCAATTATTTCACACAATCGTGATAGAACTCAGCTGTGTAGATTGTCCGGCGTTTCATGTTTGTGGTCGCGTGGCGCAGCCAAAAACAACTCGTGCCAAGGGCCCCTCGATGCGCTGATACCACCACCACCACCACCAAAATACTCGTGGCGCTCACGAAGCTCGCCAACAGTTCTCACAAAGCGGTTCGTGCCGTCCGTCTATAAACAAGCTATGAACTCACAGATTGTCCCTGTGAGAATCCGTGATGTCCAAGGTACAAACAATGTAAAAATGAAACTAAAATAGACCAATTTAACACGTAGGCTTTCGCGACCAATATTATTCATAGTAAAGGTTTTTGGGTTAGATCGCGTTTATTTATAAATGTGTCGTAACCCTCCACCACCCGACACGGCCAATCAGCAAAAAAAGTGTCACGTTGACAAAAGACAAATAATTCACTACTTCAGCCCACCGGTGTGTTGAAGAGTTAACTGTAAATGTGGATTAAATGTGGATTAACTCTTCAACACACCGGTGGGCTGAAGTAGTGAATTATTTGTCTTTTGTCAACGTGACACTTTTTTTGCTGATTGGCCGTGTCGGGTGGTGGAGGGTTACGACACATTTATAAATAAACGCGATCTAACCCAAAAACCTTTACTATGAATAAAATAGACCAAATTTTGATTTAAAGCTTTCGTGACTGCAGGGATTCACATTCTTGGTTCTTTCGGTAAAGTCACGTAGAAGGGAAACAATAGAATACTAAAAATATAAAACAATAAAATTCTCACGACGTTTCGACTGCAACACAAGCAGTCACACCTGATGATGATTGCTTGTGTTGCAGTCGAAAGTCGTGATAATTTTATTGTTTTATATATATTTTATTATTTTAATGTTTCTCTTCTACGTGACTTTACCGAAAGAACTAAGAAAATGTATGCTATCGTTACATTTAGGGTAATGGGAGTGGTCAAGGCTTGTGCAAATGAGCCGGAACATTTGTGGGTACAAATGAGTTGGTGAAAATGAGACCAAACAAGAGAGAATGGGTCCTCGATAGTAAATCACTTTCACCAAAACGCGACAATTCATAACAATGTCTGTGCGGAGTGCGTTGACGCATGCCTGCAAATTGGCCGAGGGCACTCTGAGGTGATTGTGACGATTCTTCGACTCCTCATTAATATTCCACGCTCAGTAATTATTGTATCCGTCTGTGCAGGGTTGCTTTCCTTGTAATTTTAATGGTAAAGGTTTTGATTGTGTTGCAAAGTGCTGTGAGGCCTTGTGTGAATGGTGCTTTTACTTCGTCATTAAGGTTTTGTGGCTTAGATCGCATATATATAAACGTTTGTTAACCCTCAACCACCCGACACAACAAATCGGTAAGGTTTGTCAAATAAACAAAACGTGCCAATTAGTTGCTACTTCAGCACACCGGTGTGTTGGAGATAAAATCCACAACATTTACAATTTGACTACGGCATTTCACTGGTAATTACATCCCGCATCATCGGGCCCTTTTTTTGGCAAAAACATCTACTGCGAATAACATTGGTCGCGCAAGCCTACGTACCAAACTGAGTTTTAGGCAGGCGCTGCAGGTGATCCGTGGCGCGTACCTTCGGGGCAGCTGTCTCCGCTGCTGATGCTCAGTCGCTCGGCGTTGCCCTGCACGTACTGGTTGTAGAGTTTGATCCGCATGGCCCAGCTCAGCTCCGGCTGCCGCACCGTGTTCTTGAGCCTCCGTCGCGCGTTCGCGAACCAGTTGGACACCTGACCCAACCACAACGATGGAGCGTAAGCGGCGATCCTCGACGCGATGCGCACCCCCCCCCCTCCCCCCTCACCCACCCCCCCCCCCCCCCCCGTCAAGCGTTACGGAACTGACATTTCTTTGTAGATTTAACAGCTCTGTTTTGTTGATTTGTTGGTGAATTTGTGCCCATTTTCACATGCGCGTTGAACTCTTTTTACGTAGCCTACCGCGCGAATCGGAGGTGCGTCAATCGGGCCTCTCACCCGAGGTGACATGGTGCACCGCTGTCACACGACCGCGTGAATCTGGCTGTAGATGCACGTGCAAGATATGTGTTGTAGGCACAAAGACGTAGCGATGGGTGGCTAAACACGCAGGCACAATTCAATACATAAATAACACATAGGAAACACACAACAGATATGCAGACAAACCGAATGGATGGATTAGATACAATACTTAGGTGGATTACTAGGGAGGCTTTCATACAGCAGTGTTTTGACCACGGCTGATGATAATTGATCATGGCAAGTTTGAAAACGAATTTCTTCAGAACTGCTTTTTGTGTTTGGTTTGTGGTGCTTGCCCCACACCTCCGATTGGCACGGTTGGCAACGTACGGTGCGAAATAAGTTCAACAAACATACACACGGTGATCATAAACTAAAAACTATTTTTATTTTTTACCAGGTAAGGCCCACTGAGCTTTTTCAGAAGCAACCTGGCCACAAATGATAGCTCAACAAAGTGGCTTATCACGTGGAAATTTATAGCAGCCGTATACTCTTAAACACGTGTTTCTAAATGTGAAGAGTAAAACTGAGGGACCCAGAGAAAAATCCATGCAACCGCGGGGAGAGAGACACACGCAAACTCCAAGTATACAGGGGCCAGGGTCGAGATCGAACCCAAGACCTCCTATAAACCAGGCACGGCAGATAACATCTCGCCACTGCCGAGATATTGTCACGATGCACCACTACCCAATGCCCTACCCGCTGGGATCACCTGGACAAGCGTCATGTGGGAGCCAAGGGCCAGCAGGATCTTCTCCGTCTTGGTGGGGTAGGGGTTGTGCCGGTGCTTGTAGAGCCAGTGCTTGAGGGGCCGAGCCATGTCCTGCAGCGCCTGCCGCTTGTGCCGAACTCGCAGCGCCCCGGCCCTCCGTCTGCACACAGCCCACGCGAGACCGACCGTGACGTCGGTTCGTCCACTCTGCACGCACGTGGGGCGGTGGCGGTGGCGCCGCCGCTACGGCGTCACGGCCGAGCACAGGCCGGAGGTCGGCGGTTTCATCTCCCGGCGCGGCAGTTGACACAATGGGGGAAAGTTTCTGAATTTTTTCCCGTTCCGACGACATACGGTCCGTGTAGATCATCAGACTTTCTTCTGGTTCCGTTCTGATGACGTACGTGTACGTCATCAAAACGAAACGGGAGACAAACTAAAATAAAACAACTTTACCGGTACCGAGGCTCCCACAAGACCACGCGAGAGGGCGTGCAGCACAGTTTGGCGCCAGCTCTGATAAACCGCGGTCGTGTCGCTATAGTTTTCTGGGGTGAGTAGAACATCTTTAAAAACAATAGCGCTATGCACTATACCTTTACGTGTAGTGCACTGTACATCTATCGCCCTTTTGTCAGTTCTCTGCTGGACGAGCACTTCCACATGGGATGTGGGTCATCGGGGTTATTTGACCATACTTCTTCATATTGGTCAGTGGGGGTTGGTGATGGCTGCCCATGGTTCCCCATCCAAGTACTGTACTCGCCAGCCTCAGGCCTGCTGAGCTCAGGCCAAAAGGTCAAAGCGTTGTTGGCCCAGAGCCAGTGATGGAAATTCCACATTCCTTCAAAGGGAGAAAATATTTCCACAAGACAAAACAGTTAACATTCTTCTTGTTAAGCCGAGCTCCCGAGGTGATGCTCATTTACATCGGTGACACTGAGTCTGAAGCAGAAATTCCATATTCCTATGTAATGGGCCAGGAAAATCTAAAATGATCCATTGTTAACATTAACCAATTATAACACGTAACATGTAAAACAAATTCAACTTCAGAGGCATGATGAGATGCTCCCCCCCCAACTCGAATTTGGACGCTAAAACTTTATGAATCCACTTAAGTTCTGTTATTTGTCTCTATGCTTTACACTCCACTATGCACGGGAGATAACACACGCTGCTTATCACGTGACAGCATTCATATAGAGCCGCATGGCTCACAGGGCTATACCTAATAAATGAAACTTGAAACTTGAAATATAGCCAATGAGGCCAGATAACACTGTGGCTAAGAGGAATTGACTCATGGTCCTGGGTCGATGCAATCATAGCAATATGATTAATACAATGCGAAAACTTTTTGGGATATACTCTGGAAATACTGGGTACTGCCATAGAAATGTGGAATTTCCACGTCTGGCTCAGGGTTGCCGATGCAAATGAGCACTACCAAAATGGATACACTTTTTACTTTCCTTTCACATGACCCAAAGCCCTCTTTATAAGACCTGTTAAAATGCCGGGCAACGTAATTGGCAGCAAGTCATACATAATTACATAATTACATAAAATAACTTTTTTCATTTCTACTTTACAGTTAGTTTTTGTGATTCGGGTCAGTTATGCATTGAGAGGCGTATCAAAACATGTAAGCCTTGTTATAGCAGCAGTATGAGCATTTATACATGTCACACATGGGTAAGCGCGCACAATAACGTTGTGTTGATTCGATTTTCTATAATCTTTTCATTAGCTACGTTTCAAGGACCGTGCAGTTGTAAACACGTCTAGCCATAATTATCTTTTATTTTAAAATAACACTACGTCTAAAGTGTCTACAATGAGCCACGTTATTTCGCGAGGCGAAACTCTGCAGCCTGTTTAAAATGCGTTTTGGTTAAAAAAAGAAAATCCAAGAGTGAACCCCGTTATGCATTAGCACAGGCATTTATTCAAGCGCCACGTCTGATAAAAGCCATTGCTTAGATTATGTGAGAATGACTCAATAACTGGAGTCACAATGAGCAAATCTGTTCTGCTCACTTTTTTTGCTCCACAGTATGTGGCTTCAGGAAATGTTTTTTGAAAGTAATACTCTCCAGTAAAATAAAAAAAAATAGCGTGACCACAAATGTGACAGCCGTAATTTAAAATGATTCTATTTGACTTATTTTATTTTATGTTTTAATTACGTGGAAGAGCAAGGCAATGTGTCTTTCTGCTCAAAACCCTGTGTTAGGGTGGTGTTTGCCTTGCTGAGGCAAGACCTTGCCACTCGAAAATTGACCGCACGCAGTTCTTTTTGATGATTTTGTTTTTGAATAATTTTTGGTCTGTAGCCAGGTTTTTGTAACCAGGTCCCCATCGAATATGCACATTTATTGCCCGATCGGTTTTACCTGAGCCAACAATGAACCCAAACATAGGGGGGCACTCATCCTAAGCCAGTGGTGGGAATTCTACATTTCTATGACACAGGCCAGCGTTGACCTCCTGCACAATGGCATTCACTTTATTGGCCTGACGGATATTAGTATGGGCCGAGTAGATTCACCTTAAGGAGTTGAACTTATGACCTTCAGACCACGCGTTGAGCTCGAGAGCCATAGCACCACCCGGCCACAATCAGTGACCATACATCGAGCGACCAAATAACGGTGCCTTCACGTATCGTCGTGATTCTGAATGGCGCATGCCATTAACTACAGCCCTGGTGTTCAGCTCGGAGTCCTCACTCGAGCCTATAGCTCATTGTTTCCAGATATTTTTTATTGAGAGCCATTCTGGAACTGTGCTGAGCCAGACAGCCCGAGTCTTCACGGCAGTCTACTCCGGCGTCGCGGTCACTGCCACCGCTCTGCAAACTGCGACCGCGACTGCAAAACTCGCTCTCTCGCGGTCTCTGCCCATACCCTGGCTGCTGCTGCTGCTGCTGCTTGTCGCGGGCGTGAGCGCTGCGCACGTCCCACGAGGCCACGTCGGGCCTCAGCGCCGGGTAGCGGGGGAAGGGCTCCGGGTAGAGCCGCGGCTCGGCTCCTGGGGGGGCCGTCGCGTGGCTCAGGGGCAGGAGGCGCTCCCCAACGCCACCGACGCCTCCGCAGCAGCCCTCCCCGCAGGGCTCCATCAGGGGCGCCATCGGGACCCGTCTCGCCGCCTCCATGGCCAGCGCTCCCTGTGCCCAGCCGCAGGGTGGCTTGGCCGCCTCGCGCAGGGCTCCGGAAACCTTCCAGTGCAGAAAGAGACGGCGGCGGTGGCGGTGGCGGCGTCGGCGAGCCATTTGCTTTGCTAGCGAGAGTCGCATCACACGGAGAGCTGCTTGTGCACGGACGCAGCAGCAGGTACACAGCAGGTGACAACACGCAGAGTCTGACTCATGAAGTCAGAATTATGAAGTCAGAATGTGTGAAGTCAGAATGTGATGGAATAAACTGCGTCTGTTTAGACCCCCCCCCCCTCCCCATAGTTATTCTTTAACAATAGTTTGACCTCATGTTTTAAAATTTACGCGTTTTTTGTTTTGTTAACGGCTGCCCGCAAAGGGGCAGCCAAAGAGCCACGGCCACATGGGGCTGCTGAGCCGCAAGTTGCCGACTCCTGGGGCTTGTGCTGCCGCTACCGCTGCCCCTGCTGCTGCTGCTGCATACGAGAGGAGGAGCGGCGCGAGGGGGAGGAGGATGAGGAGTGTTTGTAATCGACAGCGCGGTGCTGGAACCATTGCGTCTCAAAGAAACGAAAACCCAACGCATACATGACTGACGGCGCCTTGAACATGTAAACAACGAGCAACGTTTTGAGCCAGGGACTTTCTTCACGGCACGAGAAGGGCCATTGCCCGAAACGTCGCCTATGCATGCATATGTTCTCCTATTTGAGGAAGGGTCGTTAATGAGAGTGCAATTTGTGATTGTGCACCACTACCAACGCGGTACCACCAAATAAATCTGCCCTCAAACTCGCCCACTCTTTACGCGGGGTGCATCTGTCAGGGTGCACGCACAGCGTCTCCTGTGCAAGCGATGGGGGCCAAGTTCCTCGCACACTTAGCAGTGGACTTCCTGACCACGTTTCTCACGCGGTCGACACGGCCATCGTGAACACGCGGGCTGTGTGCTCGAAGTTTACGTGATTCACACGAAACGTTCAAAAGCGTGCGTTTTGAATGCACTGTTGCTGCAGGTGGGATTTCAGTGCTTGGCCATTCAAGCTTGATGCTTGGAAAGCGTTTGTTCAGGTAATGCCCCGTGCGCAACGCGTCTTAGATTGTTTTCACGAAAGTGCAATGAGGAAGCTGTGCATGCTGCAGTCGTCTGATCTGCGTTGGACAACGCTGCATACATATTCGTTGCTCAAGGCAGGTGGTGGAGTCCAATCACAGAGAGAGAATCATTGTTTGACCAGGACCGTCACAGACAAGGCAAGAGATCGAGGCAAGTCAGAGTAATGCCTTGGCCAAGTTTGCTCGGGTTATGAAATAAAGTTCAAGGCGTTGTAGAAAACGGTCACAGTGCCGTCGTGGAAATGACAACTTGAAAACACGAAATCATTCCTCTCTCCCCCGTCCACCAACTGGCCAGCAGGGCGAAGTAACATCACATAACCTCCATGACCAACATGGTACGGGCAGACCTTCATCTAGCAGTGCATATATTGCAATATTTTGTTAATTAAATAAGTTTAAACTCATTAAACCGGAGAGCATCTTCCCAACTAAAATCAACGTTTTCCCTCTACAGAAGCATATTGCAACAGTTGCATTGCTGCAGATAGACGTTATCTTGAGAATGACATTAAAGAGCATTGATTGTTTGTTTTTATTGCGCCTTTCCCTCACTTTACCTTAACATAGTGGGAGATGATTTTGTCTCTGTTTATTTTTAAAATCTCAGCTCCACTGTCCGGCGCTCCGCAATAAAATATATTTTGCCAACCCGTTGTGTATACAGAGTGGGCTACAGCTAACCCTGACTGTGAAAGACACACACACACACACAAATATATGCATACACACAATACATTTGTATTAGTTCGTTTAATACGTTATTACCCAGCAAGTCAGCCAGACAGTGCTTTGCCTGAGCTACTCATCTCACATTCGAATGTTGAGCGTCTTTCACACCGTACGTAGTCAACCGTGCTAATTATGAAAGTGACCAAATCATGGTTCATCATCATCATCATCATCCTGCCACCAGCGTCAATAAAAATAGCTACCATTTTGTGAAAAATGCACGGGTGGATATGTCCCACGATGAGACTGGTCCCTGCCATGGCAATGTATAGTTGCCACCACCAGCTGAGGACCACCGATGGAGATGAGCCACCACTCGCTGCTCGTTTGAGTGGAGGGACACAGATCGGTGTTGTTGCCCTGTCCTCGGTTATGGAAACATGGAAACTTTTCACCAAAAATCAGGCCAAAAACTATTTTTTTTCAGCACATGCATTGGGCACGCTGTTAAAAACTCTTTAAACGGGTCACAGCCCCATTATATTTGGCCAGTGATCAAACTTTTCGAAGTCATTCTATGGAGATAAATGTTCCTGTCATGGAATGAGGAATTTCCACCACTGGCTTGAAGCGCCAGTGATGATGAGCCCTTTAGCATTGGTCATTGGAGCAGGGAGAGACGTTTTCTCTTTGAGTTCACGATTAGATTTTGCTAAGTGGACGGTGACATCTGCACACAATGGGAGACTCTTGAAAATTCTATCAAATGTCTTTATCATTCATGCGACAAGATTTCCACATTCTTGGTTCTTTCGGTAAAGTCACGTAGGAGGGAAACAATAAAATAATAAAAATATAAAACAATAAAATTATCACGACGTTTCGACTGCAACACAAGCAATCATCATCAGGTGTGAAAAGCACAGCAAGAAAATTTGAAAAAGTGGCAGTTTTTAAAATGTTCTTGCCGTGCTTTTCACACCTGATGATCATTGCTTATGTTGCAGTCGAAACATCGTGAGCATTTGATTGTTTTATATATTTTTTATTTTATTGTTTCCCTTCTACGTGACTTTACCGAAAGAACCAATAATATGAATCCCTGCAGTCACGAAAGCTTTAAATAAAGATTTCCACACTTACGAATGATTCACACACGTTGCACAATTATCACAGGCATTTCCAGCATGTGTATTTTCCTCCAGTATAAATACATATTCTGATTCTGTATATTTGAAACTCAGTTGAATACCTTTCAATGACACTCATGGTTATAAGGGACATGCTCTTATAGTGTGGAACATTCTCACTTCAGTATATGACTCAATGTTGTATATTTTGACATTCATTTGTTGTTATATATAAGCGACAGTAAACTATATTAATGTGTAGTATATACAACTACTCCTTATGCATGAAGTGTACATACAATACAAATGAGGCCCATTTCCTGAAATGTTACCTATCACATATATGTGTTTCCTGTAGAGCATTGGTGTTGACAAATGCTTGTACCCAAACAGCCTTCGTAGCTTTATATATATAAAAGGTTTAATTATAAATAGCGCATTTACACACTTACATGTGACATCTTATATGCCTACACAGGCAACGCACTATAATATTCAAAATAAAAAAATAAATTATGTTATTGTTGAAAATATCTGCCTGGTTTATTTCAGTGTCCTGTAATATATTATGCACAGTAGTTTAAGAACGCCACAGTGTATGTTTTCAATGTTGTGGTATTCTGTACAAAAATTATGATTGTAATCCTCTGTTCACTAAATATATCAGCACTGGTATGAATAAAACATGCTCGTTAGAATATACGGCCTCACGCATGTGTTTGCAAATGTACTTTGTGTCCAAAAAGGAGCTCAGCGTGTCACCATTATTGTCAAGAAATATTGAATGTTTTCTTGAAATTAAACACCGTCTGTAACTGCGGAACAAATCAACTGCATTTGTTTCTGAAGAAGCTCCCAGCATGTGGAGCAAAACATCGGACATCTCACCAAACAACGTGTGGTGCAACTCGAAACACGTCTGAGTAAAGCATAACATTATTTCAGTGAAATGTACAGTTATTAACAGATTCCACTGGTTTGAGAAGAGGACTCTATAAACCGAATAACACACTCACACAACTCGAGAGAACACATTCAACCTCTAGCTATAGGAGGACGCAGAGAACGCCACAATTTTCATGGCAGCACTGGGTTAGCACCTTGGAAGTTAGGAATAGAAAGTGGCAACAGGAAGCGAGTGTTAATTTAATCGTGAAGAGGACATTGAGCTGGTGGGTGGAGTGCGTACAGGGATTGGAGCGGGGCAGGTGAGGAGACAGCGGCCGTTGAAGAAGTGGCACAGGCATCAGAAGCAGTGGCACACACATAGAAGTGGCACACACAGAAGCAGTGGCACACACAGAAGCAGTGGCACACACACTGAAGTAGTGGCACACACAGAAGTAGTGGCACACACAGAAGCAGTGGCACACACAGAAGAAGTGGCACACACAGAAGCAGTGGCACACACAGAAGCAGTGGCACACACACTGAAGTAGTGGCACACACAGAAGTAGTGGCACACACACAGAAGTGGCACACACAGAAGTAGCGGCACACACAGAAGTAGTGGCACACACAGAAGTAGTGTCACACACACATAAGTAGTGGCACACACAGAAGTGGCACACACAGAAGTAGTGGCACACACAGTAGTAGTGGCACACAGACAGAAGTGGCACACACAGAAGTAGTGGCACACACACAGAAGTAGTGACACACACAGAAGTAGTGGCACACAGAAGTAGTGGCACACACACTGAAGTAGTGGCACACACACAGAAGTGGCACACACAGAAGTAGTGGCACACACAGAAGTAGTGGCACACACACAGAAATAGTGGCACACAGACTGAAGTAGTGGCACACAGAGAAGTAGTGGCACACACAGAAGTAGTGGCACACAGAAGTAGTGGCACACACACTGAAGTAGTGACACACACATAAGTAGTGGCACACACACAGAATCAGTGGCACACACAGAAGAAGTGGCACACACAGAAGTAGTGGCACACACAGAAGTAGTGGCACACAGAAATAGTGGCACACACACAGAAGTAGTGGCACACACAGAATCAGTGGCACACACAGAAGAAGTGGCACACACAGAAGTAGTGACACACTGAAGTAGTGGCACACAGAAATAGTGGCACACACAGAAGAAGTGGCACACACAGAAGTAGTGGCACACACTGAAGTAGTGGC